CTTTTTGTGCCACTCTTATCCAAAGCCTTCATCACTCAGAAACATTGAGGATGAAGTGAAAAGCAAAGAAGCCTAACAGACATACGGAACGTGGCAAAAGTTGACAGTTTTAGATTCTTGCCTGAACTCTAAAGGCATTCGGCCATTTCCCGCAGATTCATTGTGTGACGGGCATTCCTGCGAAGCCTGGGGATACAGAAATGCCGCATGGTAGCAACTGTTGGTTCTGAACTCAAAATCTAGGAGGAGAGACTCTTAGATGCCCGACCTTATCAATTACAGTGTGATGAGAGCTTAAAAACCAGAATTAAGAAGACAATTACATTTGCCTCCCCAGACATACAGGGAAAGTTTCACAAAGAAGATATTTGAAACTCCCCTTGAAAGATAAACAGATTACCAGGAGGAAGAGCCCGGTTTGAGGAAACGTCTGAAGGCAAAACATGAAGATCAGGCCCTGAAGTGTTCTGAGGGTCTATTGGGAACTAAGTTTGGGAAATACAATATACCATCTTCCTAATGCGAAAATTCATAATTTGTAATTTGCCTACTGCAGTCTCTCACAGTTAAGAAATCTATTTCACTTTGCTAAATGACACCCCTTCCCCTCTCCCATCTCAATGCACAGGCACACACACACACACACACACACACACACACACTACTTTTTCCTTTGGGAAATACTGGGATCTGTGTAGAGAAATGGGCAGGAAAACAGGCTAGGCCAGAAGGTGAGGAATGTGTGCAGTGTAATAAGGAGTTTACCCTTAGCTGCTCAGATGGGAGTCTGCCACCGGCCCCCCCAAGGGACAAGGTTCCCAGTAACATCCTAAGACAGGCTGCAGGGCCAACATGATGTAACTTCCTGACACCTCACTTTTACTCATCTTCATATTAAAACAAACATGCTTGGGATTAAAATGCAACATTTGCATGATTTATAAAATAAAACATGAGACTTCAAACACACATTGAGTTTGCAGGGTCTTCTTTAGGCCACGCTGCCAGACCTTGAGATCTTAATCGGCTTTTAGGAGTAGCTTGCTGGGAACGTTGGAGGAGTGTGCTGGGCAGTAGGGAGAGTGGCCCAGGGTGAGCTCTGTGCCTGGGTCTGCCAGACTGAGCAACGTCAGACACCATCATGTTGGCCAAAAACAAAGGACGGAATAAAGCAAAGTGGGATCGTGAGGATTACAGATTGGATCTTCTGTGCAGGTGGCTGGATGAATTTAAGAGTGCATCCATTTGGAGCACTTAACTAGAAATAAATAATGGAAATGAGTTTTGTATCACCAGGAATTTTCAGATGACCACTTTATTCTCTGGCTGGTTATTTTTTTGTTTGTTTGTTTTATTTTTTAAGTAGGCTCCACACCCATTGTGGGGCTTGATCTCATGACCCTGAGGCCAAGAGTTGCATGCTCTACCGACTAAGCCAACCAGGTGCCCCTGCTTTGTTTCATTTTGTTTTGTTTCAGAAGTTCACAGGCCAATGGAGTCTCAAGTTATGTGGTGAGCCAAGAAAAAGTCCATTGCCATCCAAACAGCCTCTCATTCCTGATTCCTTTTTCCAACCCAGGCTGCAAAGAGCCAGCTACCTACCATGGAAAGTAACAATTAAAGCTGGATGAGGTTTTATACAAAAAGAAGAAAAGATCATCTCTTTCTTGTGCTCCCTGTGTAGCTCCAGGGGTTTGAAGGAAACCGCTGAGACACTGTGATGACCAGTAGGTGCGGGGATAGAGGGAGGTAGGTGCTGTTCTTTGGCTCTGTAGCAGAATCTAACTGTCCACCCCAGGGCCCACTTTGATTTGGGAGGTTGAACCACACAAAGTCTGTTTGCCACAACAAACAGCACGGGCAAGTGTCCCCTCCCAACTGCGGCTGTGTCCCCGAGAACCGCAGCAGCCGGTGGAGGCAGGTGTTTATTGCTTGTGTTGCCAGAACCAGGACCAGCGGCCATAATTTCTAAGCGAAAATAGATAGCTATAAAAATAATGATGCCAATCAGGCTTCTGAGTCCCATGGCAAGCTGTACCTGGGGCGATTCCTTCCGTTCCCTCTGGCCTCCACCCAGGGGTTGGCATCGGTGAGCTGGGCTGCACAGGGCCATCACGATGCGCTCTGCTGCGTGTCTGTTGAGACATCACAGGGGATTCAATCCTCTCCCAGTAAACGAAATATGACTGGACCACTGATAAACTGTGGAAAAAGAAAGCAAAATGATTCGAGGATTTAGTTTCCCTTAAATAATACCTGAAGAAGAATAAAAGTCTAAATGAATAGAAAAACTGAAGAGATGATTGTATTGTCCTTTGGGTGACTCCACTCTATTTAGAAATAAAAACTCAGGGTGCCTGGCGTGGCTCAGCGGGCTAAGCATCCGACTTCGGCCTTGGTAATGATCTTGCGATTTGTGAGTTCAAGCCCCACATTGGGCTCTGTGCTGAGAGCTCAGAGTCTGGAGCCTGCTTTGGGTTCTGTGTCTCCCTCTCTCTCTGCCCCTCTCCTGCTCTCACTGTCTCTCTCTGTCTCTCCAAAATAAATAAATGTTAAAAAATTTTTTTAAAAAACCCAAAACTCAACAGCAGCAAATAATTAACACAGGAAAGGATATGTATAAATCAATGACCCTCCTGAATAAATATAGTCATTAAAAACCTCATTTTGACAAAAAGGTGTCTTCTTGAACTGTTTAGACTCAAAAGTTTCCATTTTCAACTTTATTATTAGCCATTCCTGGTCTATTGTTAATTGAATTACTCTGTTAATTGAAACTTTCATAATTCTGTTGTACAATTGTATGGTTCCGTTGTAATTGTAGATTCCATTAAACATTAGAGATACATCATTGGTACTCTAATATTTTGAATACTTATGGCTTTCTTTTGTGAAAATCACCTTCACAGTTTTTCATTTATTCTCCCCAAAATTTCACTGAGGTAGGGATTATTGGCTACTAGCATTTTTCTCATTTTAAATATTCAGAAGGCAGTTATAAAAATGTGATTAATTTAGTTGAGGCCACCCAAAGTGTTAGGGTACAAGTAAGAGTCATGACTCAGGCCTCATGCACATCATCACTTCTAGCATGGGAAAGGATCCGGAGGTGAGCCAACACAGGGTGACTTTGGGAGAGGCTTCTGATCAAGTGCCTTTACTGTCAAATGGAAATAATAGTTCCTAAACTATTTACTATGTAGCACTGAGCAGCTATGATGGCAAATCTGGGAATGGAGGTGATTTGAGAAATAAAAGCAACTCCACATATTTAAGGACTCTAAATCACACACATTCCCTTGCATTGGATCAGAACCAAAGCCCCAGGCAGAAGCTGGGTTGCACCAACAGTCAAGTGGATGGATACTGGCCTTCCCGAATGGGCAAAATCATTATGGCACAGGGTTTTCTTCCTTGCTGTCCTGTCTGTTGACTTAGTCCACCAGGAAATGATGGAAAAGCGTCACTGTGGGGACAGGGGCAGGCAGTGGTGCTCATATTTCATTGTTCCCAGTGCCAAAGGCAAAATCTGGAGGGGAAGACAACATGGAGTCTGGATGCCTCCACCTTCAGGCACAGCCTCCCCCTTATATATATAAGCCTCCCATATATATATATGTGGCTTTCCCTGGGCCCAGGGAAGTGTCTACTTGTCTGTATGCCTCAGCCTCTGTCTTTCTCAGTTTTCCCCACTCTCCCACTGGCCCTTCTTTTGTTTGGCCATTATTTCCTGGAGAGGTCGGCCAAGATGCATCTGTGCCCAGAGAGGAAGGGAAATCACGTACTCCTGAGCCATGGATAACGACAAAGTGGGAAGCTGGGGGTAAGTTCCTTGTTAGCTAGCCTCTGCATAGGCTGTCTAGTTGGGGCAGTCCTCATCACCCTGTCCTTGTCATTAGGTGGCTGGAGTAGGGGACAAAGCATGAAGGAAAGGAGAGGAGAAGCCCCCTCTCTTCGAAGTGTAAAGCTCCATTACTAAGAAGCAACACTTAACTCACTCTTACAGGAATCTAATATCCCCCACAGGCTGGGCAGGAGCCTGCCACTCGAAGGCCAGGTTTCTCTTCCGGGACTTGTCAGAGTGGGTGACTGTGTCAGCTTCTTGAACACAAGCCATCGGTTTGGAATGAGGAGGGATGGAAACAAAAGTGCCAGCTATTTGATGATCAGAGACTCTTCGAGCCTGTAGTAGAAATCCCATGAAATCCCGACTGCTTCTCACGGTCACTGCAACGGAACACATCCATTCAGGGTGAGCACTCTTAACGTGTGGTTCCATTTGGTGATTTTATATGGGTATTGTCAAAACGAAAAGCTTAAGACAAGCCCTCAGAGAGTAAACAATTCATTAAGGGGAGGGGAGTTGAAGTGTTCTTTCATGCCCAAAATAAATTTGATTTAGATCAAAGTTATGTAAAAATGAAATACATAACACTAAAAAAAAAAATTAAAAATAAAGAGCGGGGAGCACCTGGGAGGCTCAGTCGGTTAAGCATCTGACTTCGGCTCAGGTCATGATCTCACAATTCCTGAGTTTGAGCCCCATGTGGGGCTCTCTGCTGACAGCTGGGAGCCTGGAGCCTGCTTCAGATTCTGTGTCTCCCTCTCTCTACCCTTCCCCACTCTCTCTCTCTCTCTCTGTCTCTCTCTCTCAAAAATAAGTAAACATTTTTAAAAATTTTTTTTAACGTTTATTTATTTTTGAGACAGAGAGAGACAGAGCACGAACGGGGGAGGGTCAGAGAGAGGGAGACACAGAATCTGAAACAGGCTCCAGACTCTGAGCTGTCAGCACAGAGCCCGACGTGGGGCTCGAACTCACCGACCGTGAGATCATGACCTGAGCCGAAGTCGTCCGCCCAACCGACTGAGCCACCCAGGCGCCCCAATAAACATTATTTAAAAAAAAAAAAAAAGAAATAGAAAAAACTAGGAAAAATGTGGTTTGTAAAAATATTGTAGTTTGGAATGCCCGAGAAAAACCCAGTTGCCAGAAAGAAAAAGATGGTTTAAAAAATTATGAACATAGGAGAAATCAGAAGACAAAGTATAAACTAAGAAAAGTATTTGTAAAGATACAAAACAGGCAAATACAAAGAGGATTAGTGAATCAATAAAAAGATGACCAACCTTAAATTTAGCAAAGGACACAAACAGAAAACAAAGCAAGGTCAATCGTGATTTAGAAAATAATTACCAATGAGGCACTATTTTAAACCTACCACGTTCACAAATTTTAAAATGTGTAATTATAACCATTATTGATGGGACTGTGGAAAAACTAGGACACTCATTCACTACTGTTAGTACCATAAACCATCCAACTCTTCGAGGGGGCGAGCAACCTAATAATATTTTCCATATTTAAAATGCAGTTACCTCTGATACATGCTACAACATGGAAAGGCCTAGAAAACATTACAGTAAATGAAATTAGCTAGACACAAAATGAACATGTTGCATAATTCATTCATACGAGGTACCTGAGCAGGTAAGCTATCATAAAGACAGAAAGATTATAGAGGTGACCAGGGTCTGGAAGATAGAGATTATTATTTAATGGCTACTGAGCTTCTGCTTGAGGTAATGAAAAAGTTCTGGAAATGGATAATGGTGATGGTTGTACAACATTGTGAAATTATGTCACTGAATGGTGTACTTCAATTAGAATGGCAAACGTTTTGTTACATATATTTTACCACACACCAAAAAGCCCAGAAATGCAGTCTCCCTTTGATCTAGCAATTTCACTTGCAGGAATTTTTCTTACAGACGTAAATAATACGGCAAGCTCGTTTGTAATTAAATGAGTTGCTAAAATCATGGGTATAACTTTATAGGCTTGCTAAATGCAACTTAGTGTCTGCGATCATTTTATTTTCCATTGCAATTGAACTTTCATTAATAAACATTTGTACAATATTTAGTTATTATTTAAAACTAGGCACTGTACTAGGCATTGAGCATACATCCATGAACAGGACAACACGGTCCTTACCTTCAAGGAGCTCATGGATTAGTGTGGGGTCCCAGAAAAAAAAGAAAAGAAAAGAAAGAAAAGAAAAGAAAACAGGGTGATCCTAGCACAATAAAGTGGGATCCATGAAGTGTTCCCTCCAGCTCTTTATTATGTATGTTGTTTTACTTCCAATAACAATACAATCATTTTTCCTTCAGGTCACCTTTTATTAGAGTTTTGGGTGTCACAGTATTTTGGGTCACTTTTTACAGCTTTTTTTTTTTTTTTTTTTTACCATTTTCATTCCTTTAGCCACAGAACACAGGGGTGCTGATATATTGATCCCTTCATGCTGGTGCCTGGGTGCATACTGTGGTGATTGGAGCCCCAGAAAAGTTGCCCCCAGCCTTGAGTAGCCTCTTGCCTTTGCCCCAGCATGCACTACACGTATTATCATTTTCTAGCTGTGTTGTGATATGATAAAGTTTGGGAAGCTCTGTTTGAATAGCCTGTGTCTCAGTTTGGGGAATATGTTGCTGTGGAGGGCCAATATTTTACCACATACTTTTTCCCCACACGTACCAATAGAGCAGAACGATTGGATAAAATGATATTTATAGAGTAAATTTTATTCTAATTTATTTCCCCTAATTGACATCAAAAGAATTAGCAAAATCAAAAGGGGGTAGAGCAAACACTGCTGATATGTTTGAGTTCACATGTGGTTGCACAGATGCTTTTCTGTCTACACTCAGCTACTGCTTCCAGTACCTGTAGATTTCTTCTCTGCTTTTTCTGCTGGGAGCTTGGTCCGAGGTAAGCAGGCATGACTCTGAAGTGTGTGTGTGTGTGTGTGTGTGTGTGTGTGTGTGTGTGAGTGTATATGTGTGGTGGGGACGCTACCCTCCACCCGTAAGTGCCCTGGTCCCTCCAACCTCCTGAGAGATGATTCAGAGGTGTGTTTTGTGTGGTTTCTTAGATGGTCTCCACTGGAATTGAGTCTCAGTTGTCCACGGCAGTGACCTGCCTAGTCTCGCACTTCTTACTGGTGTCTCTCTCTTCCCTGTCTCCCTTTCCTCATCTGTACTTCCTGGAATCATCGCCCAAATAAACTACCTTCACTCAAGTTCCTTCTCGGTTTTTGCAGGCACCTAAACTAAAACAGCAGGAAATACTCTTTTCACTCTGCAAATAACTTTCGTTTTAAATAAGGAGAAGCTAAAGTCTATTTCACACACGCACGCACCAACACACACGATACATGAAGTTTGTTTGGGGTAATTATATTTATCTTAGAAGGATGGATACTTTTTTATTGTAATGTTATTTGTGCCCGCTTGTAAAAATGAGTATCAATATAGAGATTATTTATGTGGTTTCCATGATACAAATAGTTCATACGTATCTTTGGGTCAATAATTGCTTTTTAGGATGAAGTCAAACTTTAGCCAAGAAGACACATGCTTGGGACAAGTACAACTTGGAATTTGTCACTAGGGCTTGGGGGTCTCTCAAAGCTCTCCCATACATACCTGGAACGATGTCTCCCGGTAAGTAGGAAGATCTGCTGGTGTGAATGGTGATGTGGTGTGTGCCGGGGTTCTGAGGCTGGGCTTGAAAGTGCTTGGGCTGCATGTCCTGACAGGCCACTGAGCCGGCACCATGAGAAAAGGCAGTTGAGCAGGAAGCCAGGCAGAGAGCTGCACAAGCCCAGCCTGTGAGGGCAGCGGGGACCCTCATCCTCCCCTTATCTTGCGTCACGAGAAGTAACAGCTTCAATCCAGATGTTATGTAAGAAAATAATATGACGTCGTTTTGAATGTGACTGATCTGAATCCACGCTGCCTTTAACCGACCTGAATCCCACACTGCCTTTAAACCTGAGATAGCTTTAGTGCTGCCTCCCCAGATTTCAAGGATTCAAGGTCAAGATCAAAAAGATGTGCCAGGCTGTAGAAAGTGTTTCATTTCTAAATATTTTTTTTAAGCCTGTCTTATAATTTTCTTACAAGACTAGACTGTTTCTTTTCAAAGGGAGGATTTGATTAAGTCAAGGAATTAAGACCAGAAAATATTTGTATCCTAATGTGAACCCTTTACAAGCTGTCTGATCTCCAAGGGCAGTGTGAGCTATAATACATTATTGAGGAAGTGAATCACCCAGTACTCCAATATGGTCAGGCTACATGGCATATGGTGGCTTGGGTTAGTATCTTATCTCTATACTTGTAAATTACAGAGCTGAATGTTACAAAATTTCTGCCAACTATCTATTATTTAGAAGTAACTGTTAAATTTGCAACACTTTGATATCTTCTTGCCCTCCCTTCTGTTGACTGGCTTTAGTTATTTCACTACTTTTTCACAGAGAAGATGAGCAGAGAAAGTTACACCCAAGCTGATCCATTGTTAACTTTATTGGCAGGAAAAAAAAAAAAAAAAAAAAAAAAAAAAAAAAAAAAAAAAAAAAGGACTCAGGAATAGAATCAAATGATTGGATAAAATAACATTTATAGAGTAAGTTTCATTTTTGTTTGCCAGCTCTAATGCCATCAACAGAAAGAATTAAAAATTGTGTAAAAAAGGAGTTCTCAGATGAAAATATTGCGAGAGATAGCAAATACAACAGGTTGAAAACTACTCTCTGAATAAGCATTCAGAGGGCACCTTGGTGGCTCAGTGGGCTAAGCATCCAACTCTTGGTTTCAGCTCAGGTCATGATCTCACAGTTCATCAATTTGAGCCTTGCATCGGGCTCTGTGCTGACAGTGTGGGCCTGCTTGGGATTCTCTCTCCCCACTCTTTCTGTCCCAACCCTGCTTGTGCTCACGCTGTCTCTCTCTCTCTCTCAAAAAACATAAATTTAAAAAAAAATTAAAGAGGGGCACCTGGGTGGCACAGTCGGTTAAGCGTCCGACTTCAGCCAGGTCACGATCTCGCGGTCCGTGGGTTCGAGCCCCGCGTCGGGCTCTGGGCTGATGGCTCAGAGCCTGGAGCCTGTTTCCGATTCTGTGTCTCCCTCTCTCTCTGCCCCTCCCCCGTTCATGCTCTGTCTCTCTCTGTCCCAAAAATAAATAAACGTTGAAAAAAAAAATTTAATAAAAAAATAAAATAAAATAAAATAAGTAAAAGGTAAAAATAAAAGACTTAAAATTTAGTGAAAGTAGCTACAAATACGTGACCCCAAATAATTCGCACAATACCTTTCTCTACTAGGTTTGCCTTCCATGAGGCAAAAAAGTCAAAAACCTCTACACCACAAAGGACCATTCCTACAGTTTCCCAGACACATTAAGAAATAATGAACAATGAGCTGTAAAAGCACATTCTCAGTTGAGGGGACACAGGGCCTTTTCCATTTTCTTCCAGAAGGGCCACAAGGAAATGTCCCTTGAGCCTTTGTAGATGGCAGAAGGTGGTCTCCTCTCCCCAGGTCAGGTCAAACACAGATGCCTACAGGGGAAGGGGGGAAGGGCACATCCCACAGACCACGGTCACAGCCTCAACTCCCACCCTCTCCTCCTTAAATCTTGAGATTTCTGCGTTCCCACCAGCACCTCATCTACCTAACCCAGAAAGACATCCACTTACCTAGTATCACACTTTCCTTCAGCCTTGATGGAAAGGCTCCCCCCACTCAGAGTTGCAGGGATTCATCCTTTAAACAAGTCTTTTGTTCTCTCTTCTGTTTCTCCTCTAATGGGCAGGACAGCAGCTGTTACTGCTAATCCTCAGCATCCACAGGAGCTGTCCCTCAGAGTCCAGATCCAGCCTTAATCGCATTGGCTTTCTCTAAGATGGCACACACATACTCACACACGGTTTCCACACCAACATTGTTCGAGCCTGTGTGAAGAACCAGAGATAACTGGAACTGGTTTAGCTTATGACTGGCATTGGCATCCTCTACAGGAGTCGATGCGTTCATCTTGGTTTCCCTCCCAAGGGGAGAATGACTGAATCAAGCAAATCTCAGTGTTCTCTGCTTCTTGAGTCACTGTGAGCTGAAGAAGTTATCCCTGGTAAAGCAGAGAGCCACGTGTGGTATAAAAAAGTACCACAAGAACACTCCCTTCCCTTTCAATGGCACTGAGGCTGGAATTCACAAATTTGCAGGCATATACGAATCTCCTGAGATGTTTGATAATCGCACAGAGCCTGTGGGTCAATGGTTCTCAAAGTGGGGCTCCCAGAGCACAACATCAGCATCATCTGGGAGTTGTAAGAATTGCAAATTCCTGGACCCCACTCCAGACTTACTGAATCAGAAACTCTGGAGGTGGGCTCCTGCACTCTGTGGCTCAGCAAGCCTTGCAGAAGATTCCAATACAAGAGAAATTGCCGAACCGCTAATAGGAGTAGCCGAACACCAAATTTATGCTAAGCATTTATCTGGGCAGAAACAAAGATGAATTGCATATTATCTCAGGTCCATAAATACAGCAAAATGGAGGAGACTCAAAAGGCTACATGGTGTATGACTCTACTTATATAACATTATGAAAAAGACAAAAGTATAGGAACAGAAACAGGTCAGTGGTTGCCAGGGGCTGGGGTTGCAGGGAGGGCAGCACAAGGGAATCTGGGGGCCATGCAACTCTTCTGAACCTCTTGTGGTGGTAGTTACACAACTGTACAAGCTGGTTAAAACTCAGATTGCACATCAAAACTGTACACAAAGAAAAACCGTATGTAAATATATTAAATAGAATAAACAAAAAACGGAGGGGACAGATATATACACGTAGCTATTAGGCAAATGATCATTGGGATATCACAGAGGATTTACATGCGATTAACTCCATGAGAGAAAAAAAAAAAAAAAAAAAACCTCCATAGAAGTTACATTTAAATTGTACCTTAAACACCGATCAGAATTTTTTTTTCATGGCAATAAAGATTAGAGAACACTCTAGAATAAGAGGAATGTATTGAATACTTTTTACTCCATGTCCTGACTACAGCCCTTGTAGAATCTCCTTGTTCAAAGTGTGGTCCATAGACCAGGAGCATCAACATCACCCAAGAGCTTGTTAGAAATGCAGACTCCCAGCTCCACTCCCGCCCTCCTGCGGATCCACTGAGTTCATTTCTGCTTTTTAACAAGCTCCCCAGATGATTCATATGCACACTAAGGCCTAGAAGTACTTCTGTGGAGAATCTGCCCAGGTCTCAGCCCGTGGAAGAGCCCACACACACCACACAACAACCTCCCATATCACCACGACTGATTAGCCAGAGATGGCCACCTTATCGGAGACCAGGAAACCCACTGATTGGGCAGCAACCAATCAGCTACCTTGAGAATTTGGACTTTTCAAGGAACACAGATCATTCAAGCTGAAAGGGTAAGACAAACTAGGGTCGGAATAGGGTGACAGGGCAAGTCACAACTGAATTTCATTCCTGACAGCTCTCTGAGGAGTTCTCCCTTACTGGAACTCATTTGAGGGGCTTTTTGTGTGTTTGCTTGTTTGTTTTCATTTTTCCACCTATGAAATTTGACTGTGGAGTCCTGAACAGGGCCTGGCGTGTTTGAGATGTTCTCGGAGAGAAGGTTGCAAGGGAGGAGGAAAGCATCCAAACTCTGAAGGGATTTTCATATCATAGTGAGGAGGTCAAACCATATCCAGTGAGAAAGAAAGGAGATACTGTGGCTGTTTAAGCAGTAGAGTAGCAAGACAGGCAGCTGGAGTTCCACGAAGGCAGTTCTGGAAACATCTGGAGAGCCAGAGCCAGAGCCAGAGCCAGAGATAAGGGCCGTGGAGGAGACTGCTGTACTGCAGGCCAGTAAGAAACGAGAGGGTGAGCAATGATGGTGCGGGACCAGAGGGATGGACTCAGGAGATCCTCTGGAAGTAGACTTGGTAGGGTGTGGTGACTGGCTGAATGTAGGGTGCCAAGAGAAAAGTCTAGCATGGACCCTGTGGGGTGATATGGAGTAGGAGGCTCCAGAGACAGCAACGGCTGGACCATCAGGCCTCGTTTCCATTCCAGAAATCTTAAGGAAGTGAATGACTTAACGAGGAAAGCACTCATTCAGAGACTACAGTCCTATCCCTGTAATTTTAGGGGGCCTGCTTAGCTTGTCATGGCAAGTATGAATGAGGCAATTAACCTTATAACCACCAAAGGAAGTTGAGCTTCCTTGGCCTAGGCCTCTGGTATTCCCGATGCAGAGTGAAATCAAACTGAGTAAATCTGGCTCCTCTAAGCCTCTGTCCCAGCAGGAGGGAGGAAATCTCCATCTTTTGTTGAGTCATAAGGGAATCTGGTAGGCCTAGAATATTAGGGTGAAGGACTTCCATTGCTATTATCCTAGTTTTCTAAGCTCTTGTGGTCACTTAAAGGCTGTTCGCTCACATGCTTCCCAGAAAAGAAGGGTTCAAGTCCAGCCAGGCTGAGGGGCTCCCTAGATGAACTGGGTGGCCTTTCCTCTCTGAAGTTTGGCCACCCCCTCCACTGGGTACTGCTACAAGCAGGACAGATCCCTGCTACTACGAGGAGCGTGGTTAACCTCTTCACTCCCCACGTAGTCTCAGGACCAAAATCTCCCTGCTCTCCCTCCCCTTCCCTGGTCACCTGGCCTAGTCTACCCCCATAGGTGGAGGGGCAATCTACTGACACTTCTGCTTTGGTTCTGCAACCCGAATTCTCCAGATGTGGAGGTCCTAAAAGGCCAGCTAGCAGGTTAGAGAGGGGATGGCAAAGAGGTAGAGCAAACGTAAATGGCTCAATAA